GTTCAGAACAAATGCATTCCACGTACCAAGGAGCATGGAAGCAACTTCTAGGTTTGTACCAGGTAGAACAATCATACATCTTGTTTTTTTCCTTTGGAACATTCCAGTACTGGCCTGTGAGATTTACTCCCTACCACATGATATGGTAATATAATTTGTCCTGATCGTGACCACTTTCCTATCTACTTAACTTAAGCCCAACCTCACTTTAGTAATGCAAGCTAGTGAGGGATACTTTGCATAAGAGAACAGGACTATAGTAAAGCTAAAGGCCAATTTACGCTATATAACCACCTAAAGATATTTGTGATTAATATATATTGGTTAGCATCTGTGTCATAATAAATAATGTCTATTAGCAGCTATGTATATTGGTATGAGTTAGTCAATGGACCCTCCCCCCATACGCTATTACATAATGTGCAGCATGACAAACAACAGAAATCCTTTCAAAATTGTAAGGTACAATTAACACTACATTCTTTAGAACTACAGCTCTTTAAAACTGACAGTTCTGTTTAAAAGCAGATGTGACCTAACATTACTAAACCCAGATTTCCTGGCTGCCTTCCACGTGCTTGCTAAATGAACCAACGGGTCAACAAGGGATGTCATGGGGACATTCACTTAGTAAAACAATAAACTGTGTGTACAGCAGAATCCCCTATTGGCAGCATATATATCAACAGTGCAGTCTGAGTGGCAAGTCTATTTTTCATATGGTTAAGCAACATATTGAGTTTTTCTTTCTTTATCCGTTACTCCTTTCTCAAATAAACCACCCTTTCTAAAAACAGGATCTTTTGATTCAGTCACATTTTGTCCTCAACTGAGATTGCTGAATGTTTCAACAATATTCCAAGTAATAATGTCTTCATCCTCTGAGCATTTGCACTTCACTTTGAATTAATGTTTGTCAGATAAGCCTCAGGCAACACTACAGCAAAGTGGACTGGTTACACAAAACTTCAAGTTCAGTTCCTGGCGCTCCTGGCCATGTCAGTACTACAACAACTGATCCAGAGAATAGAGAATTTCCATATCTTCAAAAGATATCACACTCTGTGGAACCAATTTCTGCCAATTAATGTGTGGTGTGTGGCAAGGGTGGAAAGGAAGGCAGAGTGATTCAAGTGCATTGAAGGATATTTAATTGAATTTCTGTCTTGAATGGCATTCAGCTTCACAGACAACAGTCAGTGCAGTGAAATCCACTTTGGGAATAATGTGCTACAGAGTTACATGCCCAGTCTCACCTATAATGTGGGTTAAAAAAAAAAAATCACAGGCGGCAAAAACCTAAATCAAACTGTGAAAACAGCACACAAAACAGAAGTGAAACAGATTTTCTTGATTTTCACTGTCCAATAGAGATATGCAACAAAGTAAACAAAGAGCACAGTGTCAAGTGATTATAAATTACAGAAACAAATATTTTTTTATTTACAACATAGTTTTTAAATTGACAATATCCCCTCCCTGTGTAGTCACCAACCAGAAGGTATTCAAAGAGCATCAAAACATAGATCCATCTTTTTATGACTATTTCCAGAATGTCTCCTTTAGCTGAGAAAGAGATATGCTATGAAGTGTGGAGCCAAGAGCTCCTGTATTCCAATCCTAGTTCTGCCATAGCATCACTGTAGGACACTGGGCAAGTGACTTCCCTTTCTGTACTTCAATTTCCTCCTAAGTAAAATATGGATAGCAATACTTGGACCCCTCACAAAGTTGTTATAGAGAGTAATTCGGGGCCCTGTCTTCAGGGGGCAAAAATGGTGTGTTTTTCAGTCATGTTAGCTCAATCACAATAGCTTAACACAACTGAAAGCATTATCAAGATACAAGCTAACATATTTGAAGCCACATTAGATGGCCGTGTCTTAGCACAGGATCCCCCTGCCCTCTGAAGCAAGGCCCAAAAGAAAATGGATTAGCCTGAAACACCACTCAATCCCCATTACAATGAACAGAAATTAAATCCTTTCCATTATTGCTTTTGTACAAAAATATTTGTGCAGTTAGTTTCCAAGCGTCTTTTCCTTCTTCTCCACAGTTTGCTTTATTATGTTACTATTGTATATTAAATAACATTTAGACCAAAAGAAAACAAAATGCATTTTATTTGTATGGTCAATTGTAAGTTGCTGAATGAATTCAATTAGGACACACATTGTTTTAAGGGATACTTGACATCAGTCTTGCGTTATTCTATTGCTGAATATTATGGATAGTATAAATAAGTAAAAGACACCTCACAAAAACACTTTGCTGGCTGACATGATGCAGTTTTAGAGCAGATACACAATATTTGCAACCTGGTTCACAGCCAACTGATCTTCAAACCCATCAGTGCTGAATGAGGCTCAGCTGTAAGTGTCAGCACTGTAATTCACATACATAGAATCATTTGAATAATAAATGGATAAAAGTTTGATTCACTGATGAGACAAAAAGCTCTGAACTATATTTGAAAGAATTTGAAATCTTTCCTCTTAATGCTTCATAAAGTAAAACCCACATTACCAGCTAAATCTCTTTCACAGGAATAAAGAAGTCAACAATGTCAAACTCAAAATTCAATAACAGTCTAATAAATTCAACTAATTTTAGCTAAATATTTTAACCTGTTAATTATAGGTATGTTTGAGTGCAAATGAATAACTATTTAACTGATAATTATCAATTAATGATGTCATTTACCTTCAGGAAAGCCGCTTCCCATCCACTTACAGTTTAAACGGTTAATCGTTTACACTCAAACATCCTTAGAGTTGGCATGAGCAAATAAGCTGAGTGCAAGATTGTACTCCATTATTATTTATGCCGTACAGTAAGGTTGCATAATCTTTGCTGACACAAAATTGGATAAGTTCCTGGCCCCAAAAGCTTATATTTTAAATTAGGAAGGAAAACAACACATTGTTTTCAAGAAGGAACAAGAAATGAAAAAAACCATTACAGAGAAGGTATATAACAGGAAGTTAACTCTTAAGTTATTTCTGAGTCCATTATAAAGGATGTCCCCACATATATTTTTTCTTTAAAGGGGAAACATTATTTATGATGCCGGTACCATGCGACCCATTGCAAGAGTTTCCACTTACTCAAATAGTGTTATAACAATCTTGGTATGCAGTGATTTAATTCATACATTTTTAAAGAACTTTCAAGATAGCACATATCAAGTACAATTAAAATTGCTTATTGACAATGTAAGAAAGAAAAAAAGAAGATTGAATATTTTCGTATAACCAAATCCAAAACCAAGAGAAGGCATTGGAATCAAAGCATGATCTCTGGTAACTGCAAGGCCACTGAATTGCAAGACAGTAGAGAAATATTTTTACATGGAATATAAAAAGATACGGGAGCTACTTAACAAAAAACTCAAGTTACTATTACCTACATTCTAGATTCCAAACAGAGATGAATCTTTCTTTTGATATTCATCTGACAATTCTGTAAATATATTAGCAAATACAAACAGCAATACTTCATTAAAGCTTATTAAACCAAAACAAGCCTCATAAATGGAAAGGATAAAATGCAAGAAGAGATAAAAATGTATCATAGTGATCAGATAAAAAATAAATTTACATTAAGCAGGATTCTGCTAGCATATAAACATAGTGGATAACATTTTTAAAAGCAACTTAGGCGCTTAAGTCCTCTGAAGTACTTCTAATCACTTTCTTAAATGGGACTTGGGCATATTTGAAAATTGTACTCAATGTGGCTATATTCCTGTGTTTACATTTAGAGAAGTCTCCAGGGTGCGCGCCTAACAAAACTGTGTACCCCCAAATGCACCTTCCTTCTCTCTCTTTCCACTCCATTGTTTGTTCCTATCACTCAAAATGTCTCTATTTAGATTAGAAGCAAGCATGTCTTTATAATCTTTGTCTGTACAGTGACTAGCACATATTATACTTACCACATTGCCAATGCTGGGGAGAAAGTGTATGTGCTAGTAAATAAGGAGCATGTTGAAACATGATGATTCATTAAGAGCTGAGGGAATGGAATGCTTTTTGTAAATGTGTCTTTGATCAAGAGAAAAAAAACAGGAAGAATTTTGAACAACTGAAAAATAAGCAAGACTTTGTAAAAATATCTATTGATAATACAAATCCTTGGAAACTGACAATATGTAAAATCAGCTTGATCAAATTATATAATTCCAAGTGTATATGAGAATTAGCGAATGAATTTATTATATACAAAAAGCTACATTAAAAGAATGTTAAGGTTAAAAAAAATCAAGCACTTAGATATTAGGAAATGCCAGAATTAAGATTGCCTGGGCAACTAGCCAGCCCCACCTCAAAAGTGGGCAGTTCTAGCACAGCAAACAGTATGACAAAGAAGCCTTGGAGAGATTTTAATAAATTAAATCTGACATCTCCTGGTAGAACCCCCAGAAAGGATGTTCATGAAAACAATTATCAGAACAAGAAGAAGGAAAGGAAGACGGGCTACTAAGCCCAGTTTGAGTAACTTTGGGGGGAAAAATTAACATTTACCTGTACAACATAAGGAACAGTCAGGATATCAATATTAACAATATAATAATGAATAAGCACTGTTGAAAATCCAAATTATATTGTACTAATAAAGGTGAAACTAAATAAATACACACAAAAAATATGCACTGTCCAAACTTAGCAAAATGAAAAAATAGACAATTTGTAACAGTAAAAGGCAAGTTTATTTTTTACACTTTTCAGACTGAATAATGTTATTAAAAACAGTATTTTTTAAAAGCTCATATTTTTTCCTGACATTCCTTTAAAGAATTATATTGCAAGCACAAGTCTTCTCTTTTCTATCTATATATCTTTGATTATCTGGCATATATATTATATATACACAAACACACACATATTCCTTTGAGACAGGAAATCTTTGAGCAGTGTGAAGGAAAATAAATGGTAGAGCAGTATAGATTCAATATGCCATTGAGAATATAATGGAAAATAATTAAAATGCATAAATACCTCTTGAGGGTTCCAGGGAGATCCAAACTAAATGGTATTTGATACGATGCTGCTAATGTGTCATCCAAGGCCTTGCTTATTTCCTGTAACTCTCTTAAAGATACACAGCTAAGCAAGGCACTCAATTCACAGTCCTGCAACAGAATAAGCCTATCTTGCGCCTCAATATCTCTTTTTAATTGTTGATCTTTTTCTTCTAGCACAGCCAGCCTTGCCCTGAGGTCTTCAATTTCTTTCTGTATGGAGTAGAGACCAAAGTTTATTAATTAACCTTGTGAACGAAAACAACACTGCTAATAAGATACAGTATACTAAAGGCAATATAGATGGCAGTCAATAGTTAAAAAATGTCTAACACTTTCCATTACAGTATAAGATTTTATTTTCTGTTCCTTGTAGCTTTGCTAAATTTTAACCATTTGGTCTGAAATTTTCCAAACTGGGTGTCTGCCTCAGGCTGATATTTTTGTTTTTGCTGAAAATTTCCAATTTCACTGCTTCTCAGCACAAAGTTAGAGGGAAATACTTTGTTTTGCCCATGTTAAAAATTCGTAGACACATTTTATTGGGAGCTCTAATACCTCCGTGCTCTGGAGCAGGCATTTGAAACTTGGCTAGAGGACAGCATTGTGTCAAGGATGTGCCTTTTGACATCCCTGTGAAAATCTGTTAACATTTGGACAAGTTATGAACCGCTGAAAAAATCTCATTTTACACATGCTCGACACAGACTTGTTACAGTTTGGCAGCTAAATTCTTTGAAGATGGCGCACAGACCGGAGTGGGAAAATTCCAGCCCATGGGCCAGATCCAGTCCTCAGGGTTAGTCTCTGGCAGGCCTCCACCTCTATATTTATCTGTGCCTCTGCAGGTATCGAGCGACTGCAGCTCTCATTGGTAGCAGATTACCGTTCATGGCCAATGGGAGCAGTGTTCAATTCCATGCTGCTTCCCACTTCTCCAATTGGCTGTGAACAGCGATCCACGGCCAACAGGAGCTACAATCTCTCAATACCTGCAGAGGCACAGGTAAATATAGTGGTGACCATTTTTTTATTGCCACCCTGAACTAGACTAAGCATTCCATCTACATAACTGCAGGGTTGCAGGAGCTGAGCAAGAATTTCTGTGCAATTTCTCCTCGCTTCTGCAAATGTGGTACCAAGCACAGGAAGAGAGACCCTGTTCTCCTGTACATCAATACTCCATAATTTTTAAGTTTGTAAAAAACATTAAGAAATAAAATTTTAAATTCCGCGTTAATAAAAAAATTACAAGCTTTCAAAGTCAAGCACTCTTGTCCAAACACAGCCCCTTGTGCTTTATCATAGTCTTAAATTACACGATCACACATTAATTCTCAGTAACCTACCTCACTTTGTGCACAGGATGGATCGTGCTTTGGGAAGGAATCAGGGCTGTGCAGTTAATGAAGCTGTTGACTATAGCACCTATGCCTCATTTGTTGCAGAAGTTGGGAGGTGAATAGTGAGACCAAGGCAGAGGATTGCATGGGCAAGAAAGAATGATCTCATTGTCTAGATAGCTGAATTCTAGTCAGGAGAAGTAAATTCTATCCTTGCCTGTGCCACACACTCTCAATTTCTAGATGTGTAAACACCTGGGGATTCTGATCTCCAGAAGTGGCGAGTGCTCCTAACAGCAAACAACAGCTAGGCTATTGATGGTTGTGCTTTGAACACATTGTTATAAAAATGATACATTCTCTGAAAAACCAGGCCCTAGGCATCTCAAAATGGGCATTGAAGATTAATGTGTATTTTGACATGAATGTCTCTGTGTCTTATTTCTTCATCTGTAAACTGGGGATAATGCTGCCTTTCCTCACAGGGATACAATGAAGATAAATTCATCATCATTTATGGAGCACTCAGATGCTATAATGATAAGCACCATACAAAAACCCAGAAGGAAATTAATAATTCTGTATTCAGAACAGAGCTTGAATAGTAAATTGGGACTATACTTTGTAGAATAATGAGAATAAAATGGAACTTGAATAGTTGCTCATTCGGTGAGCACTGTCTTGCCTTTATCAATGTACATACTGGAGCCCTGTCAAGAACATAGTATGTGATCGCACAATGAAAGACCATCATAATGCATATACATAAAAGGACTGAATTAAATACAGAGGTAACCTTGTATTTGGCATTTCCTAATTTCTGAGTGCTTGACTTTGCAACCTAAACATTGTTTGAATGTAGGGGGTATTTTTTTAATCTATAATTTAAATAAAGGTTACAATATCCAATACAGTCGTAATGCTCTCTCTGTTAAAAGTATATTTTGACATCAAAATAAATATTCAAGCTTTACATTTATATGACTAAGCATAAGAAGAAACTATTATTCCATATTAATGGAACAAATTAGCTCAAAGAATTCAACTTACTGCAATGTTGCACAGTAGATGCATCAATTATTTTCTTTTTTCTTAGAAGTAGCAGCCAGAGAACAGAACAGCTGATGTTTCATCCCCACAGGCATTTGTCACGGAGATAACAAAGGTCAGAAGGCCAAAAACATCAGGACTGTTTCTATGAATCTCGAATCAGGTTTTTAGGTGCACAAAGAACATTTCCTTCTTTGTACTACTCATTTGGGAATACTGCCAGAATTTTAGTAAGCATCACTGAAAACAAAGCCCTCCATATTCTTTGAAAATATACTAACTGTAATGACTGCAATAAGACACCTATATGAGTGTGTACAAGAAGATAAGCAGAATTGGTTTATAATACAGTTTTCATAGTCAAGGTATAACAAAATATTGTACACTACAATGAATTAGATGCAGTTACAGCATCTGCATATTATACTAAAGAATAATTCACATGCATTCTAAATCTATTTTAATGAGAACAGAAATTTTGGCTAGAAAACTGCAGTTCTCACCTGTTCTTTTCCAGAAGTATCATGGAATCTTTTATGTCCTTGTGGGCAGTCATGTGTGATGACAGAAAGGCCCCTTAACCTACCATTGCTATCTAAGAAACAGCCTTAATTTATATCCATTCCATCCCACCTCACCTCTTCCTACCTCTGAACACACTGAAAAAAGTTATAAACAAAGAGACCTGATGTAAAGATTAGAAAAGTATGTCTACAAGCCTTTAGTCAGCCCTCTGTGATGATTCATTCTTTCTTGTAACTATTAAAGTAGATCAGCAATATTAGACTGATCATCAGTATTGAAGAAAAGAGGGTTTCATTCATAGGAAATAAAAAAATAGAGCCTTTTGGGTGGTAGAGATGTGAAGAAAGGATCTAAGCTATAGCTGAAGAGTTTGCAATACTTTTTAACCAAAATTACAGCAGCAACCATTTAAACTAGGGATGTAAGCAACTAGTCTATTAGTCGACTATCCAGAGTAGTGACTGGACTAGTCGCTTCCCTCCCTGCTTGCTGCCTCTATTTAAAATGCAGAGCTGCAGTGTGGGTGGCTTCAGGAGCCTGCACAAGCCAGGACTGCTCTGTCCCAACTCAAGCCAGCTCTTGGAGCTGCCCCTGCTGTGGCTCTACAGAATGGCCCTATTGACTAATCATATTGTCAACACAAATTGTATCGACTATATGTTTAGACTGATAACTACACTTTAACATCCTTAATTTAAACAGTTAACATTTGTAACCATTACCAAACAGATACTACCTATTCTAAATAGAGAGAGACACACCATGAAAATCTCAGGTATCAGTGTTTAGTTACTGTTAGCAAAAGCTGACTTTTTAATGACACTCACTGTGTCTCTACAAAATGTATGGATCATCTTTCATGAATAAAATTGGCAAATCACATACTGATAATCAAATTTGAACAGAAGTGAATTCTTTGTATTCTTAAGACTCTTTCTGTCTTCAGATAAAAACTTCTACAGACCAGTGAAGCATAGAGAAGGCAAATTAAACCTATGAACATAAAGAGCATGCTTAAAAGATAATGAGAAAGTTAAAGCACGCACATAAGCAACTGAGCCTTAAACTCCTCGTCTGTAATGAGATTCACACTACCTCTCTCCAGTCATCACTGAGATAATCTGCTAGACTTTAGCCAAGTCTCTAATTGCTGCACAGACGCAGCGCACTATACTCGGTTTAATTCCACATGAATGCCTACAAGCTGCATTTCCCCCACCACTACCACTACTGGTTTGGACAACAACATTATTTATAGTCTTACCTGCAACAATTGTTTTTCTTGAAGCAGCTGGTCTCTTTTTGTGGTTGAAATCTGTATCCTCTTTTGGTAAGCAGGAGTCAAAAGCTTCTGTTCATTTTTTTGCCAGAGCTGTGCTTCTTTACTTCCAGCCCTTTAAAAATGACAAACATTAAATATAAATGTTACTATTGTGTATTCATTTCTGGAAGATGAAAAGGAAATGTTCTGTCACCCAAGGGGTCCTGATGGCCCATCATCAAAACAGAGTATCTGAATCTTTAAAAACATTATTTAACAAACTAGAAAACTTTTCCTTTACATATTTCTCTTATTTTATCCAACACTGACTTGTTTTTAATAGCATCTCAAGAAGGAAAGAGGAAGACTTGTATGGCTTCTGGCTTCCCCCAGCTATTTCATTTTTCAGTATATTCACTCATCACTCTATTAAGTGAATGGCTGGCGGCAAACTAAGGAATGTAATTTCCCAACATCATTGAGAAAAACATTCAGAAATGAAAGCACTTTCTCATGCTTCTGTCTGCATTTGGAGATCACACTAGAGATCAGCCTGAGTGTGTGCTATATGATGTCAACTTTGGCCCCTCTCCTATACAAAAAGCTCTTTCTAATTTACAGTCAGTGAGATTCTTCACAGTAGTAAGCACTGTGCTCAGTAATAAATATTTGCATGACAGGGCCCTAAGGTAAATGTCAGATTTATAATGGGACTCTCAAAATGCACCTGCAACTCGTGCAGACATGTTCTCTTATGTATTTCCCTGTATTTGTGCAAGTAATTGAGTAATGGCATTTCTCTGCCCATTTATGTATATGTGGGGTTTTCCATAAATATTACAGGTGCATTTTAATAGCTCACTGAAAAACTACGGTCCCAAATGAATACATCTGCCAAGGACAAATTTTCAAACCTCATTTCCTAAGATAAATCTGTAAAATGTACATAGATATCTCTTGTACATAATACAGAAATAATGAGTTTGGCCACATTATTGTTGTCTGCATACATAAATGTGTGACTTGGACACAGAAAAGGCAAATATCCATTTTGCAGGCACATCGTAGATGCAATAACAGCATAATCACATGGCTATGTTGCTGCCATGATTTCATGTAGAATGAACCTCTATCTTGAATGGCCATCTTGTAAATCTTCCTTAAGCAATATTAAACATGGAAGATTTTAGGCTTTTGTCCCTCAGAAATGCATCTTTCAACTTCATTCACAGTCAGCCTTGCACTCTACTCCTAGGGATGTAAAAGAGTAGTCAAATTGACCACTCACATTCCTTCCCCCCCTCCCCTCCATGCTGCCTCCATATCAAGGGGGGAGGGAAGCGGGAGCCAGCTTAAAAGGGAGTTCCGGGGTGCAGGGAGTTGGGGGGGGGGCAGGGGAAGCAGAGGCACAGCAGCGCTGCAGCTCTATCTTTTAAATGTAGTAAAAGTCGCCCAGCTCTTACTACATTTGAAAGGCAGAGGCGCAGCGCAGGACCCAACACAAGCCAGGTCCAGAACACTGCTGCTCTGCCTTTTAAATGTAGTAAGAGCTCGCACTGGGTCCCGGACCTACTTCCACTGCGGCTCTGCAGTTTAAATATAGTAGGAGCCAGGTTGTCGATACAATTTTAGCACCTCCTTCTTTAAAGGCACACCTTCTGAAGCCTGAACAAAACTAGAGAATTTCAAATTTGTCTAAGGGTTTCCTTGTTTGTGACAGAAGCTATTTCCAAAAAATATTCTATCATGAAGGAAGGACTATATTTCAGGAGTCTCTCACAGAGATTGCTTGAGAACAACTGGGACAAAGCAGAATGATTGGTTTACAAATGATACTATCAAGCTATATTATTATTTATTATTATTAATCCTCTTCACTCCTGATGGAGCATAAGGTGCTAACGAATCTTCTCCAGCCTTCACAGTACTGAGAAAGCCAGCTGACTTCTTCCCAGGTCGTGCCCTTCCTTTTCATGTTCTCCTCCACAGTCCTCCTCCAGGTGCCCAACAGCCTCCCTCTTTTACGCTTTCCAGGTGGAGTCCATCTGAGTGCCATATGAGGGAATCTTGTTTCGCTCATCCGAAGGACATGCCCCAGCCATCTCCAGCGTCTCTGCTTGATCTCGTCCACAACATTGTTGATGCCAGTGCGTTGGCTTCTCTCCTTGTTGGTAACATGCTGCTCCCAGAAGACTCTAAGGACATGATGAAGGCACCGTCCTTCAAAGCCTCTGAGTCTGCTCTCAATCTTCTTGTTAGGCCTTCAAGTCTCTACGGCATATAGCAGGACTGAGCGCACATTCGACCTATAGATCTTCAGTTTAGTCCTGGTCTGCAACAGTGATGACTTCCAAATGTTGTTAAGCTTTTGGAAGGCTTGCGCTGCCAGGGAAATTCTAGCAGAGATCTCTTTGTCGATGTTGCTGTCCGCCGAGATACCTATAGTTTTAACTGTCAAACTATAAGACAGGAAAAAAGACATGTGGCAAAGGATGGATGCAATGGAACATCAAAGTCAGTGAAGAGAGGAGGAAATGGATAATAAAGGAAAACAAATGTCTTCAGTAGACAGTCAGGAAGGCCCCTCGGAATGATGCATTTAGGTGCACCTGAATGCTTTTTTTTTTTGTTCCATAAACATTAACTAAAAATAAACATATTAGAAAAAAAAACACATCACTGGAAAAGTCTAGCTCTAATGTAAATACCAGCAAGAATGCACTCCTTATTAACATGAAGTCACATGAACATTATATACATATACTTTGCAAAAATGATAGGCAATCATCTAAGTATAGCATTTTAAAGTACCAGACCAGAGGTCGGCAGGTTTCAGCACATGGCCCATCAAGTAAATCTGCTGGTAGGCTACAAGACATTTTATATACACAGGCATGACCCCCTAACTCCCAATGACTGCAATTCAACATTCCCAGTTCATGGGAACTGTGGGACTCATAGAATCATACAACTGGAAGGACCTCGAAAGGTCATCAAGTCCAGTCTCCTGCACTCATGGCAGGACCAGACACCATCTAAGACCATCCCTGAAAATTTCAAAAGACCTTGATTTTATTCCATTGTGGAACAAAAACAGGCTTCAACACTTCAACCTTTTTCACAAAACTGATTTTTTTTCCAGCTAGCTCTATTTAAAATATTAATGCATCTAAAAGATTTTAAACACCTTCTTGAAGAGCGTGAGGAAGAGTACACACTACAAGCAAAACAGTGAAACTATCTACAAATTGTTGTCAAACGCCCAAGACAATAAATGAAAAAAAAAATATTTAACAATAAAAGCAACAGCCTAAGTGAATTTGAAAAGAAAGCAGAGTAATGTGCACAGAAACTAAGATGTAAAGCAAGAACTGTGGTCTGACCATGGTTAGTATGATTGGTCTCAGACCTATAGCAAAGACGGTTCTAGTCTTCAGCCCTCTGAGCATTTCTTTAAAAATTATCAGTATACACAATTTAGAGGATACCACATCCGAAAACAAATGTATTAAAATTAATCATTCCAATAATTCAAGTTTATAATCTCTCTCAAAAACAATAACTGTTTATAACAAATAATATCAGAGGAATCTTTTGATACAGCATTTAAGTATCTTGTACCCTATACTTTGTTTCATAATTCCGACACCCATACAATTCACAATGTTTCCCCTTCTACCATTTGAGACCACAAGAGATAATTTTTAGGGAGTATATTTATTTCAAAACAAATCACATTACTTTATAAATACAATAAACAAGGGTTAAACCAGAAATTTAAAAAAACAGGATGTCATAGCTGTTTAGTGAAGTTCCATTGTCTATATGTATTTGTGTAAATCCACACAAATATGCATAGATCAAATATTGTACCAAAGTCTTTATTAATGCAAGTTCTCAGCAACCAAGATTTCCCACACTGATGCCATAACTAATAAATACCTAAGAAAGGACTTCCTTATTTGTTAATAAAGCCACCCTATAACAGAGAAGATAGACTTAGAAACACAAATAGAAAAATAATTCTTGGTAAGTTAACCACTTTCCCAGGGTCATCTGGCACATCTCAAATTGTCTCAGTCTTGCAAGTTGTTAGTTCTAGAAGTAGAGACTGATGTGTGTGGGAACTACACAGCTCAACACATTGCTAGTCCTTAACTAAAAATGAATAAAAGTGGTTCCCGAGCTGGCAGGAGAATCCACGGCAGAATGGTTTAAATACTTCAAAGTTAAATGTTTTTTCATCTCCCCAAAAGTGAGCTGGATTTAGTTCCACAGGGAGATGTAGCTCAGGTGACCTTGCTGCTATGTGGGTAACTTGCTGAGCTAAGGTTCAAGCCTGCTCTCATTTGAAGTCAGTGCTAAAAGTCATATTTACTTCAGGATCAGGATCTAATAGGACCATTCTCAAAAACCTGGAGAAAGGGTGAAATGATGAAAACAGGACTAAATTACTATATTAATAATGGTGTAGCATCAATGCTCCAAAAAGCACTCTTTTTTATTTAAAAAATAAAACCTAGCCATAACTTCTACCCAGTTCTTCAAGAAAAACAGGAATAATTCCATGTCATAACTCTTCAGTGAACTTACTGATCTGCAGCCCAGTACAATGCTGCTTGAACTTGTGCACTGAATCTGTCCAAAAAGCTTGTAATTGACGGATGCCTTGAAGGAAGCTGAAATTTTAAATTATTCTTCTCTTGCTCCAGCTCTTCTAGTTTCCTTCTCAGTTTATCAGCTAAACAAAAAAAAAAAATACAAAAAGTTGATATAATTTAAAAAATAAACAGGTTTACATTTTACCTAAAAGTCAAGAAAAGATATACATCCAGTAGCTAATACTTCCCTTTTTGATAAAATAAGTGAGATTGTTTTGCTCTAAATTATTCATATTGTAACTGGATAACATCAGAAACATTCATGATGTCAAAGATTTACTTCTGTTGTAATAATATAAAGCTGAAGCCTGTGAGTCTCAACTGGGAATTTTAAGTCAGTGAGGCTTCCAAATTTTAGCTTATGATTTACAACCATGCAGGATTCCCAGAGGAATGAAGCTAAACTAGTTGATCTCTATGAAAATGCCTATCCCTCTGCTGCTCCGGTTTTAACCAAATTTGTCTGAGTGGTAGTTACATGTGTATGAGTTAATCTTAATCTAACCTTTATATCTTCTTGGTTTAAAAACCTGTTAGGACTACATAAAGAGAATCAAAAAATACCCTATGATATTTTAGTTAAATTCAGATCCTAATTTAAATAGAAAATGCATATGTAGTGACAGACACTCAAACCTCAAGATGACATATTACATTTTCAGTGAATTACAGGCAGTCCCCGACTTACGTCGGATCCGCACTTACGAACGGGGCTCTCTCGCCCCGGAGGTTGAGGTAGCGGATTGCTACCTCCGAGCTCCGGGGCGAGAAAGCCCCGTTCGTAAGCTGCTCCGGTGCCCCTGGTCTGCTGGAG